CATTTGTCTTTCCCACCAGTGTCCCAGCCTTTTGACTCCGTCTTCAAAAAAGCTGTCTACATTTGGTGTCATTTTCACACCTCAAGAGTGCCAGCATACTTTTGCATGTCCACATATGTTTATCATTCTTTGGGGCAGCTCCACGGTCATTGCACCTCCACACTGCTTTAAAAGAATCTTCTCCAAACAACATTCAAACGAGCATAGAGAAAGACGGCATCACAGCAGCACGAAAATGATTTTAAAATGCAAATGCAGATTCGGCCATAGAATCTGAAGGGATCTTCAGGGTCATGTTGTCCAACAACCAGCACAATGCAGAAAATTCACAAATACCCCCCAAACACACACTATGGAAATACACAATACCTCACTATGGCATAGGCTGAATAGAAACTCAGGGTATGTGACGTTGGCAATCACAGATGTGCCAGTTTGCCGCTGATCCTGGGGCAGAAGAAGTTTCAGTCTGCCATGTAGTACTGCCCCCAGGCCAGGCTTAATTCAGTTCTCAGAACTAGTTGGGGAGGGGGTGAGAAGAAACAGTAAAACCCAGTCCAGAGGCAGAGAACTCAAACTGAGGGCGGAACAGAAGGATTTCTTCCATATGCGGACTCTCCCTTGCATTTGCCCTCTTCTCCCTACATTAGCATTGCTAGGGTTGCCAGTGGTAGGCTGGGAAATGCCTGGAGATTTGGAGGTGGATCATGGGAAGGAAGGGAAGGATCTTGGGGCAGGAAGAGACCTCAGCAAAGTATATTGCCATGGAGTCCACCCTCCAAAATGACCATGTTTTTTCAAGGGGCAGGATCTCTATAATCTGGAGATCAGTTGAAATTCCAGGAGATCTCAGGGCCTACCTGGGGGTCCACAACCTTGATCATTGCAAGGGAACACAAAATTGAAAAACATGCTTTAGCCTCATCAAATGTATTTCTGCCCTAAAACAAAAGGTGCTTCCACCAGAGCTCTGAAGGGTGCATATGTCTGTACGTAATTTTGCCACTGATTCCTTGCACAGGGAAAACCACCTTCTCTGCATGAAGTTGAAGTAGAGCCTGTGTTTCTGATTGCCAGTGGAAGCTGGATTTGTATAGAGGTGTTTGGCCAGTGTTTGTGTCAGACATGAGTCACTGCGCCCACATGCAGCGTGGGAGAGAGGGCCTTGCTTCATCCAGAGGCTTTAATTCCACCATGGTTTTAAAATGGCAGCGGTGTCCTTGTGACGACCAGAGGCTGGCTCTTTGCTGTGAACTACTCATCCCTTTCTTTCCTAGAATGGCTTCCTGCTAGGATTGAGAGGAATGGTAAGATCCCAATGAATTAAATCAAAAAGCCAAGACAAATATAATGTCCAACAACTCTGTATGAATGCGTGCCAACAGCTAGGGTTGCCTACTCAGGGTTGGGAAATATCTGGAGGTTTTGTGGGGTGGACCCTGAGGAGGACGGGGCTTGGTGAGGGGAGGGACCTCAGCAGGGTACGATGTTGTAGAGTCCACCTTCCAAAGCAGCCATTTTTTTCCAGGGGGACTGATCTACGTCACCTGGAGATCAGCTGTATTCCCAGGAGATCTCCAGCCACCACCTGGCGTTTGGCCACCTTACCAACAGCTCATATGAAATGCCAAAGAAGTGAGATGTGTGGGTGTGTGGTGTGCTTTCCTTGAGAGAAAGCAAACGCTGTGAACAAAGTGAATCCAAATTTTTAAGCATCTTTATTTGCAAGGACTGCGGTGTAAAAAAACCCAAACAAACAGAAAAATGCCCCCCTCCTGTTCATAGGTGGTTGGCATGCAGACTGTGAATGACAACAGACACTCATTTGAAGTATGGAGAAAGTGAGCTTGACAGATTCTGTGTTTTCCAAGTCATTTCTTCTCTGAGCAGAGATTGTGTTTCAACTCACTGAAAC